GAGGCAGCGGCTCGCGTGGCCGGAGCACGCAGGGACGGGGTTGCGACCGCGCGCGGTGGAGGCGGCGGGATGCGGGCGGCGCGCGGCAGATCCTCAGGGCCCGGTCGCCGCGCCAGCGTCTGGCCAGCCCGGGCGCGCCGGCCGCTATATAGCAGCCGGGTGGCCGAGGACACGCCCCGGAACGGCGCGCCCGGGAGGGGGGGGCGGCGCAGGCAGGGCCCGTGCGCGAGGGCCGAGTGCGGGGGCGCGCACGGCGCGGGTCCCGGGGCACCTGCTCCCTGAGCGCCCGCGCCCGGAGCCCGGGGAATCGCGGCTCCTGTGGTTCCCCGGCACCTCCTGCGCCCCGGGCACCTCAGTGCCTGCGGTGATCCCGGCCGCTCCCAGCCACTTGGCGCCACCCCTCCCCGACGCCAGAGCCCCCGACACCCCAACGACGTCTGGTTGAAGTGTTCCCCCGGCGAGGGGGTGTCTGGAAAATGGCAGTTGCCGCTCCCCTTTCGTGTAGCTTGCAAAGCTTTGTAAAATTGAATTTCCTGTGTGGCGCACGTGCGGGGTACATCTGAGCAAACCCGATTTGGCCGGGCCCTGGGTTTCAGCTGCACCCGTCCGGGCACCCGCCCCTCCCCAGACCCGCGCGCTGGCGTCGGCAGAGGCGCACGAGGTGCCCCATCGCGCGCGCTTCCGAGCGGTCGCGGCTTCCCGGGTTAGCAGAGGGGGTCCCAGGGCTGAGCTTTCCGAGATCCTAAATCCCAGTCGCTCTTTCAGTGTTAGTGTTCTCCCCAGATACTTTCTCAAATAGAGCCTCATACCCTAGACGACAGAGTAATGAAGACACCAAAGCGGAAGCTGCAGAAGCACATTAGAAACCAAGTCGGCCTTAGCCCCCGACACTGTAACATTCACTTTTTGGTCCTCTCAGTGTCTGCACTAGATCCTTTCCCTGTCCCCAGGTGCGGGCTGGGATTCTCGCTAAGCAGCGCGGTGTCCCCCTGGTGAGTTTGAACCCGAGGTGAAGTTGCGCCCTGGATGTCGCCTGGATGCCTGGCTCCGCGGCGCTGTCTGCGCGCTCCTTCCGGAGGTGGCCGACAGAGGGCGCCGCGGGCCCAAGATTGGACAAAGTTTTCTTCGACTCCAGCACAGATCCTGGAGAAGCAGTGAGGAGCAGCGGGACCCCCGCGGGAAGGGACCCTTCTACACCCTGGGGACGTCGGCTGTGTGCCTTAGGAGGTGGGGGGTTTTCTCCCCCGACCCTGTCTCCCCGCACATTCATCTCCCCCTTCTGGGATGGGAGCACCAGTTCGGTTCCCCTTCCTTACCTGGAGCACATAGATAAACAACACTAACAGCCCTTCCCAAAGGAAAAGAGACTGAAGCGAGGTGTGTGGAGGTCCCTGGCTGGACCCAGCCCTGCTGCTGTGGAGGTGGGTGAGCCGTGGGACCCTTGTGAGCCCCACTTTATTTTCTCCTGTGTCGCTTCCTTGTGGCTGCATGGTATCTGCTGACAACCCAGGACAGGGTCTCTGATTTGATCGGAAAATGTAAAGGAAACGGAACAAATCCCTCAGAGTTGCAATTGTTCCTTAAATAACCGCAGAGACCTTGACCAGGAAACAGAGCCGGGTTCTGTATCAAAGAGGATTCCTGAAACTGCTCCTGGGTGGAGCCGTGTTGTACACAGGGCTGCCGGATCGCTGCTGACTGCAGCACTTTCTCCACGCCTTATCGTCTGGCTTGAGGACAGGGAGCTCTCAGAAGGAATATCTTTTTGGGGAAAAAGGCTAAAAATAAGTCCTTGCCCTTGGGTCTCTTCCTTTTTAATTAATAGCCATGCATTTGATTAGCCGGCGCTCGTTTCGAGCGCAACTCCTAGGGGGCGCCAGAGCCCCGGCGTCCGCCGTCGCTGAGACCATGAAAAAACCAAGTTACTTTGTAATGTTCAAAGGATACATTTCTATAACAATGTTTTGTATAGACTGTCATCGCCTTTATCACGACATCTTGCAGCAACAAAGCAAATCTGCGACAGTGACGTGAGGAGAATTGTGTTTCAGTGTTTAGTTTTTTTATTTAACAAAACTGTGGGATCCCCCAGCCCCACCTCCGTAGTTGTTGCAAGAAAGATTTGGTTGGATGAAACTTCCTTTTGTGACATGCTAATGCATTTTGTCAAGCTTTCAATTAGTCTGGTGTCTGTGGTTACGGACATAGATGAGAGTGTTTAGTGGGAAAGATGTTTGTCCCTCTACTGAACGTATTTACATGCAATTACTAGTAATTGTGAAACCATGCGTAACCATCACGTCCTGCTCAGGAGACTGGACAGAGCTCTTCGCACTCACAGAAGCGCTGACCTGATTGCCCTCGTGACCCTGGGGCCAGCCTGCTTATCTTCCCCGGGCGGGCGACACTGACCTCTCATTTCTTCCAGCTCCCCACCCTTCCAGCAGGTGTCCACTGCTGATGGACACCTGGTCGCTGCCTGACAGTGGCTTCCTGTCTTCTCTTCTGCTCAGGGCCCGCTTGGACAGCAACCCCGGGTCTCAGTTCTGAGGCTTTGCTGACAGCAAGCGGCATCTCCACGTGTCCCCGGAGGCGTGGCTGTGTCAAGTTCACTGACCATGAGACTGGGTCACAACAGTCCAAGCTCCTAGATGCAAGTGATGTCGAGACCTGAGGACCCTGTTCTCCACACTGTCACGGGGCAGGAGCCTGACTTTCCCTTTCTTAGGGTTTCTTTCTAGATGTCCCCCTAAGTCTCATGCACTCATGGGGGGGCTTAGGGGAGGTGGCTGAACCATGGGGCATGATAATCCATAGTGGATTAGTCCTCTGATGAGTTTGTAGCTGAATGTGCTGTTGGGAGGTGGGGTCTGGTCAGAAGAGCCAGATATCTGTGCTCATGGCCTGGGAGGGTCTGTCTCCCTTCCCAGCCTCTCCTTTGACAACGTTCTGTTTCCTGTCTACCATGCCATGAGCAGCTCTTCTGCTGTGCCCCTCTGCCATGCTGCCCCACCTTGAGCCATCTGACTGTGGACTGAAACCTCTAGGAACCATGAACCAAAATGAACCTTTCCTCCCCTAAGGTGTGAGCATTGAGTATTTTGTCCTAGTGATGAGAAAGCAATGAAGACCCCTCCCCTCTGAACACCTGCCTGGTGAATCTCCCAGCTCACAGATACTTTAGGGACAACCAAATGCCATCATCAAATGACTATTACCCTCGACCATAATGGGCAGCTCCATGTGCCCACTGAGGGCCTCATGGGCTGTGCAGAGAGGCTTACTGGAGACCACATTGCAGAGGGCAGTGTGACCTCAGAGAACAGAGGGGCTGATGGGTATGTTTGTCATCCCTGTCTGAGTTGAGCATTGGAGTTGAGCCTTCACACTGGGAGAGGCCAGTGAAGTGAAGCAGGCAGCAGGGGCAGCGTATGTACATCTGGGGGTGCGGCTCTGCATGCTGGGCCAATGGCGACATTGCTGGCCTTGGTGTGGTTCTGGGGGAGGTGGACGTCTGAGGCACTGAAGAGAAGACAACTGGATACAGTGGACTGGCAGAGCTGCCATCTGTGACACTGGAATCCTCAGGGCTGGTGCTGCTCACTTTGGGGACACTTTGGACGGGTGGTGGCCTCCAGCTTCCATGTTCTCAACGGAAGCCAGGCCTTCTTGGGACCCCTCTCCTGCAGGGGGCTTCTGCACAGAACATTAGTGCCCTGTTTGTGAACTTCTCCCCTGGCAGTGCTGCTTTCCACCTGGGGCCCCATCCCTGCCCAGTAATTTACATGGTGGGAGTTACTTCTCCACGTCCTGGCCATGCAAATGGGCAGCTCCTGCCTCTGTCTCACACCCAGCTCTTTGTCATGGCCGAGACTTCAGGAACAATCAGAGATTGGGGACTGGGGACAGAGTAGGCTTAAGTTTATTGTCACCTGCTTGTTTAGGTGCCCTCCTTACTGCCCTGAAGCAGGTTCCACACCTTGACGCCAGGCCTGAGTAGGGCCACTGACCAGGCCTCTCAGTGAGGGTGGATGGAAAGGTCACTAGAACACGGTGTTGCTGGTGCAGGAGAAGACCAAGTTCATGCTGTGCTCACCTAGACACCTGAACAAATCTTATGTCACAGGTTTTATTCTCAGATGGATCTCAGCATGCAGCCCAGCTCCTCTTAGGCTTCGTCTCCACAGGCCCAGTGTCCGTGTTTGCAGTTCGCGCTCCCCGTGGGTGCATATCTCACAAATAGTAAGCTGTATTTTCATTCTTGTCCAAGTCAAGTTATTTCCAGTTGGGTGTGGTGGTGCACACCTGTAATCCCAGGACTTTGAGAGGCTGCAGCAGAAAAACTGCAAGTTGAAGCCCAGTCTGGGGAATTTAGCAAAACTCTGTCTCAAAGTAAAAAAATGAAAAAAAAAAAAAAAAGCCAGCATGTAGCTTAGAGTGAAGGCTCTGAGTTCAATCTCCAGTACTTAAAAAATTATTATTTAATTTTCCTTGAGGCTTCCTATCTGACTTATAGATTATTTAGAACTGTGGTACTTCCCCTGGGTTTGCATATTTTCTTTTTATCTATATTACTGAATTCTGGCTTAATTCCATTATAATTAGAGAATATATCTTGATTTTTAAACCAATCTAGGCTTGCTGTTGGTGACTGTTTCATGAGTACCGGCAAAGAAAATATATTCTTCCTTTAGGTAAGGGTCAATAAATCACAAGCAGATCTAGTTGGTCCAAAGTATTTCTCAGTGCTCTATTCTTGTGTATTTCTGTCTTCTTGTTTTAATGATTAATGAGAAAAGAATGTTACCATCTTTAACTGTGGATTTAATTTTTTACTTTGAATTTTGTCAATTTTTACTTCATATAATTTGAATCTCTTTGGTTAGGTGCACACATGTTTAAGACTATTACGTGAATTGACCCTCTTATCATTTTGGGACATCTCTTTATCCTGGGTGATTTTCTTTGTCTGAAGTCTACTTGATATTACTGTATTGATTGCAACTTTTTTTCTGGTGGGTTGTTTTTGGTACCTGGGATCGAGCTCGGGTCCTTGCGCTTTCGAGGCAGGAGGCAGCACCACTGAGCTAAATCCCTGGCCCTCTGAGGGGTTGTTTTTATAGCATATCTTTTCCCTCCTTTTTCTTTTAGCTTACCTATGTCATAATTGAAGTGCAGTTCTTTTAGGCAGCATATAGTTTTTTTCTCATTCTGAGGGTTCTGAAAATATAATTTGCATATTGTAGATCACTCTTTTTGTTCTTTTTCTTTGTTTAGTATCTCTGCTTCCTTTTTTTGACCTCCAGAAAGTTTATTTGAGCCTTTGGTTTAACTATTATACTTCATGCCCCCAAGAGGACTAGATCACACAAAAAATGTATGAATTCAATTGGCAAACTTGCTTAATTTGTCTGAATTCTGTCTAAATGTTGATGTAAATTTCCATCATGTACTGGGGACATGCCTCATGTCGTAAACCTAAAAATGCTGTCAAATTATATACACCCAGGGTAATTATGTCAAATAATACCCAACGTGCTATGTATGAAAATTGTAAAACCAAATGTCTGAGGATAAAATGGTCGGAAGGAATGCCCTGCCATCTGAAACAAAAAAAATTGTGTATAATAATTGCCATATCTCCCTGCCAATAGGATGGTTTTACACCTGTAAAGGAATAACTTTCAATTATATCCCAGCCAATTTAACCAAGATCTGTTGCTGCTTGAGTCATGTAGCTGTGGTTCTACCAGATAGAACTGATTTGATTATGCCAAACAGAACTAAACGTTGGTCACCCTATACTGCACCAGAATGTGATGGTGATGTAGGTCTGTTGACAGATGCTGAAGTAATAACTATGATAACATCTTTTGTTGCCTTGCCTTCTATAGGAGTCCATGCTGAAAAGGCAGTACAGAAATTAGCATGCAAGGTGGTCAAAGGGTTAAATGCTACCTCATCAGCCTTGGCATTAATTAACCAAGAGTTACAAGAACAGAGACAGGCAATCTTAGATAATAGGGCAGCGATAGACTATTTGTTGCTCTTCCACCACCAAGGTTGTGAGAAAATAAGAAATATGTGTTGTTTCAATCTTACTGACAATAGTCCAAAAATCAAAGAAAAGGTAAAACAATTGGAAGCCCTGGCTCAAAGGGTACATAATGAAGATGGCTGGGACTTGTTCCAATGGCTAACTAAATGGTTGTCCAAACTACAATGGTTAAAACAACTTTTTCTCGTTGTTATAGTTGTGTGTATATGCTTACTATTGTCATGCTGTTGTATACAATGGATGCCTACGTTTAGACGTAAGATTAAGTTGTAAAATCAGTGGGGAATGTGGGATTGCATAACTCTGTAATCATAAAACTCCCCTAGCCCCAACTGTGATTGAATGTGAGTAAATAGATAAAGATGCTTGTTAGTTCCGGGACACTAGATAAGATCTGTATCAGCCATAAGGTCCCAAAGTAAATTACTCAACTCTTTGTTCGAAACTGATGTTCTGGATACCGCTGTCTATAGAACAATTTACAAACATCTGCTGACCATCAGTACGTGTCAGCTGACCACTAACCTTTGTTCCTCTTCTGTAAATTTCACCTGTTAACTTCCCCTGCAACCCCCTATAAAAGAGCCTCGGACTCTGGGCTAGTCACCTCTCTTAGCTACTTTGCTTTGGGAGTGCCATCTGGCCAGACTAAGGTCTGTTTTTCTTTCCAAAAAAAAAAAAAAAAAAAAATTATACTTCAAATTTATTGAATTTATTTTTTACTTTATCTCTTACAACTTTTTTTAGTTGTTGCTTCCAGGATTTTAATACATGTACTAACTTTTCATAGTCTAGTTAGACTCATTTTATGACTTCAAATAGAATTAATAATCTTTATATCAACAGGCCCTTAACCTCTTCTCTTAGTGTTGTAGTTGTTTTAGGGATTCTATTTATATACACTAAAAACCCTCTCAGATAGTGTTTTTACTTTAAACATCAAATTTATTTTAAAGAACTCAAGCTTCATACCATTTCTGTCGAGCTTCATTTAATCTCTTCTAACTTTTCTCTCTGCTATCATTTCCCTTCTGCTTGTAGTGCTTCCCTTGGCAACTCTTTAAAGTAGATGTGTTGGCAAGAACTCTGTTTTTCTTCATCTGAAAATGTCTTTATTTCAGCTTCGTCCTTCAATTACATTTTTACTAGTTATAGAAATCTGGGTCAATTGCTTTCATTTCGCATTTTAAAAATAGCCCTCCACCTCCTTCTGGCTCCATTATTCCAATGAGAAATTTGCAGTTATTCAAATCTTTGTTCATCTCAGAAACTGATCATTTGAAATGGTCCCATTAAATGTATCTTTTTTTCTCTTCTCTGAAGAGTTTTCATTATTAGCAGTTTGTGGTGTAGATGGGCTTGGGGCTTGGATTTTCTTGAGTTTTTCCTCTTGGGGGCTTTTGAGCTTTTTTAATATTCAAATTGATATCTTTGATTAAATTTGGGACATTTCCTGGCCATATTTCTTCAAATACTTTTTCTGAGCCAGACTCAGAAAGGACATTAGATCATGATATTTATGTCACTTACAGGTTCCTGAGACTCTTCAATACTTTCTTCATATTTTCATTCTTCTTTAGGATTACACAATGCAATTTCTTCATCAAGTTTACTATTTCTTCATTTCTTCCCACTTTGCTAATTGAGCATGTCTAGAACAGTTTTTATTCTGGTTATTGTATTTTTCAGCTCTAAAATTTCCATTTGGTTCTTCTTTATAATTTCTCTTGCTTTTCTGAAACTTCCTCTCTTTCTCTTTTTATTTCTAGGTTGTTCTTCCAGTTTTCAGATCTCGATGCAGTCTCCTACTATTTTACCATCTTTGCCATCTTCACTTTGGTACCTCTTGACAGATTTTCCCATGTGAACTGACATTTTCTTTTGAATTCAGAATTCCTATTTTATGAACATTTTGAATGTTTTGTTTTAGAACTCTGAATCTTGCTTCAGTGAAAAAAAGTGTTATTTTTCATTTCAGCAGGCCAGTTGAGTTCTGTCTGCAGGTCTGTTTCCATTTTCAAAGCTCTCATGGTCCTGTTTGGATTTGTCCTGCAGGTGCACCACCCAGGGGCCAGCATATGACTGGGGAAGCTGTTTCAGTTCTAGCCAACATGGATCAAGGCACATAAAAAATAGCCTTTCGGGGTCGATTTCCTAGAATTCTCCTTTTTTGGTATTTCATATACCTTTTAGTTTCCTAGGTTCCCTGCTGTGTTTGTCCCTCTAACTAGAAGTTGTGGCTTTCTTTGCTGTAGCTGGTGGTTTCATTGCACATGTTCCATGGTTGAATCTGTATCTGGGACCACACAGCTGAAGACAGAGAAAAATTAATGGATTTTCTCCTACCCTTTTGGGACCTCCACTCCTCTGATCACAGGAAAAGCCTCCACTGACTCAGGGTTTAGGAGCCTGTGGTCTCTGTTACTGTTCCTGTCATTGTCACAACTTTGTTACCATTAAGGGTATGTCAAGTCTGGGACATGAGAGGACAAGGAGAAAAAAATAGAGGATTTCCATTCTGACCCTGAGTGATAAGAATCTCCTTTGCTTCCCAATCCAGAACCAGAGATTTATTTTAGAATGCCTGTGTGCTCCACAGTCCAATTCTAGACTTTGGAATGCTTAGGTTCTGGGTCAGAGGAAAAAGGGAAATTCACCACCAGTTTGGTGGGATTTCGAATTCTGTTCCTTTCCCCCCATCTGCCTGCTATTATTGCTTTTTCAGGATCCTCAAAGATCTGCTCCATTCATTTCACACCTGTTTTATTACTGCATTAAGTGGGAGAGACAAGGTTACCCAGAACTGGAGCATCTCTCTCAGGCTCAGACTACACATGGGGCAGTATGGTGCTGGTGTTATGTGCAGGTGGGTATTAAAGTCATGCAGTTCACATTGGTATTTTCTTTTTTGTTTGCTATCTTGGAATTTAATGATCTTCCATCCCCAGGTTGCCCTTGGGGATATTTTCAACTACAAATTCAAATATGTATACATGAAATTTAATTTATCTACTAATTGCTTTTTGTGCCAAGAATGATACATCTTTTATTGTGGTATAATTCATGTAGTACAAGATTCACCCTTTTAAAGTGTATAAGTCTGTGGGGTTTGGTATCTTTGCTCTTGGTCTATCTGGGCAGGTTGTTGAGGGACAGTGTGCTGAGGCCAGTTGCCTCTGGCTACAGATGTCCTTTGTGTTCACAAGCATTAGCATTTTCTATGCAGTTTTAAGTGTAAAGTGCTGGGGGTGCCATTCAAAGTCTTCTCCTCAGTGCCTTCTGGCTCTGCTTCTTTGTGTGTCAGGAGGGCTTGAGTTTCCTGCCTTCTGGTTTATTTCACAGCCTTGTGGGTGGCCCTAGGATGGCCTAAGGATGTGCACCCCATTGGCCCCCGCACATCCTGCTGTGGCAGCGTGGTTGACACATACACCTTGGGGAGCAAGTAGGCAAGACCCAGTGAAGCTACAGACACTCAAACTCCTGTGCTTCACCCACCCTCTGCTGAGTCCCCCAAGGGAAGACCTGATGCACACATGTGCATGTGCAGGACAGCATGATCTGCAGGACTTAGTGTCCCTTGGCGAGCACATGACTCTCTTCACACACCAGCAGCCTGTGCCACATTGAAGAGGAATGAGCTGGCAGGGGTACCACAGTGGGCACATCTGGGAAGCACAGCTCATGGTGGCTAAGGCAAAAACAATACTGAGTGCTTGTAGAGAAATGCAAAGGTCTCCAAGAAGGGGAGTGTGCATGTAAAAGACATAAAGAACTTCTAGGTTGGTGGTCACTTTTGTGGAGGCGGGAGAGGAATGGTCTTTTCCAGCAGGGCAGAGGCCACATCTCCTTTATTGGGGCCACCAGCCGGCCAGCCTGTGCCCTTCTGAGCCAGCTCTATCAGCTCACGTGGATTGGTTTCTTGGGGTGGAGTCGCACTCAATTCTCAGCTCAGCAGTGTAAGAATGAGTGGATTGTGTTGATGTATGTTATCTGCATCAAACCCTACAGGTTTGGAGGCTGATTTAATAGTGGAAGAGAAGCAGCCAGAGCTGGGCAGATCAGAACGACTGCAGTCTGGGGGAGCCGGAAACAGGGAAGATGCTGGACTTGCGTGCTGTGGTCCTAAAACCAGTCTGGGAGCTGACACTTGAGACACCTGAGCTCCCAGATATGCTGAGCACCTGAGGCCGGAGAGGGAGGTAGGAGTGATGAGCAGGAGATGGATTCCAGATCCACGAAGCAGGGATGGCCATAGATCCTCAGTGCAGGACTCACTGGAGAACTCTCTGCACTTGGCATTTTCTTGGTTAGAACATTTTAAATTACTAAATGGATTTCTGTTAAAGTTTTATTAACTTTATATGTTGTGTGTTTTCTCTTTTTGCATTTGTCAATTTGGTTAAGTTTCTTTCTCATAAAATTACTCGTTACAACTAAATTTTATATTTATTGGAATGAAAGAAGCCCATAGTAGCTTCTTATCTTCCTGATGGTGACAGGATCTGTAACTAGGCCTTCTTTTTCTTTTGTGGAATTGGTTATTTATGCCATCTCTATTTGTTGAAGAGTTTTGCCTGAGGTTTGCAAGTTTTATTATGAGTTTTTGCAAAGAACCAACTTTTGGCTTTTTTTGGGGGGGGTTCTCTATTGTTCTATTATTTCTTTTTTATTTATTAATTTTCTTTTAAAATTTGTTTAGTGTTCTTTTTTTTAACTTTTTGGAGACAGATGGTTGAAATATTAATTTTTAGTGGTTCTGTCTGACATATACATTTAAAATGAAATTCATTTCTTGCTAAGAGTTGTTTTAAACTCATTACTCATGTTTTGATATATAGTATTTTCTTTGAACTCCAATTGAAAATATTTTTTCTGTTGCCCTTATGTTTTCTTCGTTGGTCAATCTGATACTTGGAAGCATATTTCTTAATTTTGAAATACGTGAAACATACTTAATTATCTTTTGGTTGTTTATTTCTATCATAATTACATTGGGGTCAAAGAACCAGTCCTGCATGATTTCAGCTCTTTTAAATTTTTAAAAGATTTGCTTAGTGGTCCTGTACATAGTTGGTTTTGAACAAAGTTTCACATGTGCTTGGAGACAAAATATATTCTATAATTTTTGGATGCAGTACTGAGGTCAAGTTTATTAATTGTGTTGTTCAGATCTTAGCTAAGATGTATATTTTTATTTGTGTTTTCTTTGGTTTTATTTTTAGTTGACACATAATTCCACATACTTATGGGATACAGAATGATATATGTATTTTATTGTAACTTACCAAGAGATTTATATTAAAAATCTACTCTTATTTTGCTGCTTGTCATCATTCTGCCAAGTTTTAGCTGATATGATTACACATAAATTTAGTGTCTTTCTAGTTCATCAAATCATTGATCATTATACACAACTGTATTTCTAAGTATTTCTTTGGCCTTAGTATCTGTTTGTGCTGATGCTGATATTAAACAAAACTACTTTGACTTTCTTTTGATTAGTTTTATATAGTATGTATACAAGTATACTTCATCCTTTAATTTTCAACACAAAGCTAAACATTTAAATACCTCTTTTGCAAAGTGTGGAGTTCCTCGAGACACCCAATGGGTCAATGTCTGCTTGGGTTGACTCGGGGTGGGGGAGGCATGGAAGACTGCTAACTCCAAGGAGCCAGGACATCTTGAAGATGGGATGTTTTGTGAACTCAAGCAGAGATGGGCCTTATGGGAAGAACAGGGAAGCTCCCAAGGGGACAATCAGATAAAAGTTATTCAGCCAAATCCTCACTATGCTTTGAAACCAGCCTTGATAATCTAAAAGAAACAACTGTTCTCAGCAGAACTCTATGCTTTTGTTGTTCCTCAGTAAATTTGGGAGTTTGAATCAGTTTGGGGCTTCATTTTTGTGGGGTTCCCTGACCCACCTCCAAGATATTTTCTGTCTCTTGCATTGTCATTCATCTCTCTATCAGGGTTTGCTGGCTTGAACCCGGCATTATGGCACATTTTTTATTCTGATATTTAAATCTAGTTGCTGATTGTTTTGTACCATTTAAAATTTTGTAATTCCTTTTATCATTTTTTCCATTTTCACTGTTTTATTTATTTTTTATTTATTTATTTATTTATTGGTACCAGGGATCGAACTCGGGTCCTTGTACTTGTGCAGCAGGCGGCGAAACCACTGAGCTAAATTCCCAGCCCCTTCACTATGTTTTATGTTTTCACTTCAGTTAGGTATTGATTTTGAGCTCAAACATCCAGTCTCTTTACCATTGCTACACTTATTAATATATTGGAGTGTATGTCAACTGTCTATTATATGTCTTAGTTGTTTTATGCTTTTTCTCTTTCTTGCTTTGGGGGTTCTTTGGTTTTTATCTTATTTGCATACAGTAAAGTGACACCTGTCACTAGCCCAGTGCCATCTCCACTCTGTGGCACAGCCAATTTGTGTCCTTTTCTTTCTGAATTTTTCATAATGTCCTATAGATGAAATCGTACTGTATGTGACCTTTTAAACATGGCTTCTGCCAATTGTAATAATGTGTTTGAAATTTATTCAATGTGGGATTTTGAACTAGCAATAGTTTATCCCTTTTTATTGCAAATAGTTTTGGAAAAAAATCAACTTTTAGTGCACTATAGTTTATCCATTTGCAAGTTCAAAACCATTCAAGTCGTTTCTGGTTTTGGGCAGTTATGAATAAAGTTGCTGTAAATATTTGCATATAGGTGTTTATATGAACATTAGTTTTAACTTTTCTTGGATAAAGACTTTGGCATGGAATTCTTGGGTTATGTAATAGGTGTATGTTTATCTTTATAAAACTGTGAAACTGTTTTTCAAAGCAGCTATACATTTTGTCTTAGAAATACATAAGAGTTCTTATACCCACATTTATTATTTCCAGTTTAAAATGTTATTTTAGCCATTCTTCTAGTTGCCTTTATGTTTTGATTTTATTTGGGTTTCCCTAGTGACTAACAAGATTGAGCATCTTTTCAGGTGCTTATTTGACATTCATGTCCCTTCTTGGTATTGGTTCTAAGTTTTGCCTCTTTTAAAATTATGTCACTTATTTTCTTATGATTGGATTTTAGGAGTTCTTCAAATGTTCTGGATGTGAATCTTTTGTTAGATACTGAATGGAGCAATAATTCTTGGACAATGATGTGGAGCAGATCTGATGATAAGGACTAGTCCCTGGCAGCAGGCAGATTGAGGACCCAAATAAGCAGTTTCAGAGAGGCTGTGATATGCTGTGGATTTTACCCCACCATCTTTCCATCTCCACCTGGAAAAGAATAACTTAGTGATGAGAAAAGGAAGAAGAGCTCCGGGATTCAAGAAAGAGAATATAGGAAAACTGGAAATCACAGAGAAACTAGAGAAAGTGAATACATAGAGAAAAGAATGAAATAGTCTGGAATACTAATCCTGGTTCCTGGGGAAGGTGTCTTAGTTACTTTTCTTGTTGCTGAGACAAAATACCTAACACCCAAAGTTAAAGGAAGACAGGTTTGTTGTAGCTCACAGTTTGTAGAGGTTTCAGTCCATAGTTGGCTGGCTCCAAGACAGAGTGGTATGTATGGCAGAGGGACATTGAAGAGGAGAAACAGTCCATGGCAAAGCAGGGCTGGCAGAAGGCAGCAAGTAACAAGTAGCAGCAGCAGCAGCCTGCCTCTTCCTTTTATCCCTTCAAGGCTACCTGCCCTTTGGGTGGTGTCACCCACACTCAGTATGAGCTTTGTCATTATCTGCAACCAGTGCCAAACCAATCAGTGAACTAATTTAGTTATCACACACCCTTACTCCCAGTATCACACAGATAACATTAGCATCACATATCTTAGATCCAGCCACCTCTGAAAGGCCCCACCTAAGACTGCATGAGGCTTTAGGGGAGCATCTAGACACAAGATATAACAGAGGGGAGCTGTCTATGAAAACAGAAGCCCCCAGAAGAAGGTTGGACACTAACAAGAACCTCAAACACTATACTGAGTAAGTTGAAGAATGCAAACACCAAAACATAGCCAAACACAAAGGCACATTATAGGGAGACAGATTCTAACTAAGGAGATCTCCACAGTAGAGACAGTTTCCATTATAACTGATCCTCAACCTACAGTACAAAATCAATAGAAATACAAGAAAGTAAGGCAACAAGATGCTTCCCAAAATGCTTAACTCCCTCAAAGTGGGTCTCACAGACACTGAAGTAGAGGACATTTCAGGCAAAGAACTAAAAAGTAAAATGGTCAAAATATTTGAAGAGTTCAAGGAAGAAACACATAAGCAAATTTATAAGATGTTTATTGAGCTTAAACAGGATTTTATAAAACAAATAAAGGATTTTACTAATAAAATATTCAGTGGGCTTAAAGAAGAAACAAGCAATAATGAATTGAGTTAAACAAGAAAATACAAGATATGAATGTCCACTTTGGTAAAGAAGTAGCAATTGTGAAAGGAAAGCAACAAAAATACAAGATGTGAAAAACTCAATAAAAATCTTGGTTAGCAGATTTAACCAGTGTGAGAAGAGGGTATCAGAAATTGAAGACAAGCTGGATGTAGTAGACCATAAACTCAAGGATACCCTAAAAATGATAAGACAACATGCAAGCTAGATATAACAGCTTGTAAATGACAAAAAGAAATAATCAGAATTATAGCACTGAAGGAAAAATTAAAAGGTGGCTCAAAAGATCTAAAAATTTATTTGCTGAAATCCTAGCAATAACTTTTTCAAATCTTGGAAAATAATTTAACATCCAAGTACAAAAGACATATAGAACCCAAAATAGACATAGCCAGAAAATAACCTTTCCACAGAACATCCTAATCAAAATTTCAGAAATTCAACAAAAAGAGAAAATACTAAAAGCTGTCAGAGAAAAACAGCAAGTTACATATAAAGGCAAATCTATAAGAATTACCATAGACTTTTCAGCACAAACCTTAAATGCCAGGAGAGCTTGGTGTGAAGTTTTTCAAGCCCTAAAAGATAACAGTTGTAAACCCAGACTTCTGTATCCTGCAAAATTAGCCTTCAAAATTGAAAAGTAAAGATTTTCCACAGCAAAGAAATCCTAAGGAAATACATGATTGCTAAATTAGCATCGGAGAGAATACTCAGGGGAAATCTAGACAGAAACAGGGAGGCCCCAAGCACCAAACAGTTCAGATAAAAGTATACATATAACAAAGAGTAGCTAAATAAAAGGAAAAAAATCAAAGAAATCAGCACTGCAAAATTAATGCAATAACAGGATTTAGTATATTACAATAATACATTTATAATAAAAACACTCAATCTCAATGGTCTTAACTCCCCAACCAGATTGGATCAAAAAGCAAAATACATTCATATATGTACACACAGGAGACAAACCTCACCCCAAGTGAAGCTCATAGACTAATGTGAAAAGATGGGAAATGATATTTCATGAAACTGGAGCCCCAAGCAAGCAGGAGTGGCTACCTTATTTTCAGACACATAGATTTTAAGTGAAAACTGATCAGAGAAGACAGAGATGGGCACTACATACAGTTAAAGAGAATAATTCAAAAGGAAGATAACAGTTATAAATATGTATGCACCAAATGGTAGCACACCTAATTTTATAAAACAAAAAAGTACAGGACATAAAAGAACAGATAGACACTGATACAGTCATAGTATGGCACTTTAATTCCCCAACTCTCATGATTAGTTCAGCCAGACAAAAACTTAGCAAAGAAAAATCAGAGTTAAACCACACCATTGAACAAATGGACTTAATACGTACCTACAGAGTGTTTCATCCAACAGCAGAATACACATTTTTCTCAGAAGCACATGGAAGTTTTTCCAAAATAGATCATATCTTAGGCCATAAAGCATTCTTAAGTAAATACAAAAGAATCAAATAATGCCCTGCATGCTATCAGATTATAGTAGAATGAAGCTAGAAATCAATACAAACACATGGAGATTAAACAATACATTATTGAATGACTGATACATCACAGAAGAAATCAGAGAGGAAATTAAAAAATTCCCAGAATCAAATGATAATACAAGCACAACATGCCAAAACCCATGGGACACAATGATAAAAGTTCAAAGGGGAA